ATAGATAGATAGATAGATAGATAGATAGATAGATAGATAGATAGATAGATCTCCTGTGTGTGGCTGAATGTGAGCGTTGATGACTGGAAGACATATTTTTGCCTCCATTTATCTGTTTACTACAGTCTGTTGGACTCATGTTCATGTGGATTTAAAGACATTTACATTGTGGCAAAAATTGCAGGGGGGGATTAAAATAAAAGTCTAATCAACCAAAACTTTGGCGACCCCCTTGGAGTACCTCCGGACCCCCTAGGGGCCGCGGACCCCCTGTTGAAGACCTCCACTCTGGATGATGGTCCCATATTTCCAGGTGTTCGTGTAAAGTGCACAAACGCGTGTTCGGCCCTCACCTGCATGGTTTTGTCGCAGCCGCCCAGGTGCGTTTTGTTGATGAAGACGTTGGGGACGGTTTTCTGCCCGGTCATCTCCAGCAGCATGTCCTGGTAGGTGGTGCCGTTCTCTGGACAGGAAAAGAAACAAGGGACAGGTTTGGAGTTTGTTCTGGCAAATACTTTTAAATTCAATTCGATTTATAAAGCGCCAAATCCCAACAACAGGAATCTCCCAGCTTTCCAAACAGAGCAGCTCATACTGAGTTATTAACAGAAGAATAACAGTTCCCACCAAGAGCAGCACTAGGAGACACAGGGAGGAAACAACTGCCTTTAGGGGGAAGAACCAGAGAGAGAGAGGTTGGAGGGCGTGAGAGAGAGGGCAATAAAGAGAGAGAGAGGGTAAGAGAGGGAAAAAGAGAGAGAGAGAGAGAGAGCAAGAGGGAGACAGAGGGGCAAAGAGAGAGAGGGCAAAACAGAGAGAGAGAGAAAGAAAGAGCAGTTCAAACCGACTCTGAAGATATTAAGAGAACAACAGTTCCCACCAAGAGCAGCACTAGGAGACACAGGGAGGGAAAAACTGCCTTTAGGGGACAGAAACCTGGAGTAGAACCATGGCTCAGGGATGGGGGGGGGGGCATCTGCCTCGGTCGGTTAGGGGAAAGAGAGAGAGATAGAGAGAGAGAGAGAGAGAGAGAGAGCAATAAAGAGAGAGAGAGTAGAGCAGGTCAGATTGACTGAGTTATTTCCAGAAGAACAACAGTTCCACCAAGAGCAGCACTAGGAGACACAGGGAAGGAAAAACTGCCTTTAGGGGGAAGAACCAGAGAGAGAGGGGGGGCGAGAGAGAGAGAAAGGGCAATAAAGAGAGTGAGGTGGATAAAGAGAGAGAGGGTAAGAGGCAGAGAGGGGGAAAAAGAGAGAGAGGGCAAGAGTGAGAGAGAGAGAAAGAAAGAGCAGTTCAAACCAACTCTTAAGTTATTAAGAGAACAACAGTTCCCACCAAGAGCAGCACTAGGAGACACAGGGAGGGAACAACTGCCTTTAGGAGGAAAAAACCTCGAGGAGAACCATGGCTCAGGGTGGGGGGGGGGGCATCTGCCTCGGCCGGTTAGGGGAAAGGGAAAGAGAGAGAGAGAGAGAGAGAGAGGGCAATAAAGAGAGAGAGAGTAGAGCAGGTCAGACTGACTGAGTTATTTATAGAAGAACAATAGTTCCCACCAAGAGCAGCACTAGGAGACACAGGGAGGGAACAACTGCCTTTAGGGGGAAGAACCAGAGAGAGAGAGGGGGCGAGAAAGAGGGCAATAAAGAGAGAGAGGGGGAAAAGAGAGAGAGAGAGGGTAAGAGAGAGAGAGAGAAGAGCAGTTCAAACCGACTCTGAAGTTATTAAGAGAACAACAGTTCCCACCAAGAGCAGCACTAGGAGACACAGGGAAGGAAAAACTGCCTTTAGGGGGAAGAACCAGAGAGGGCAAGAGGGAGAGAAGGGGAAAAAGAGAGAAAAGAGGGCAAGGGGGGGAAAGAGAGAGGGCAAAACACAGAGAGAGAAGGACAGAGGGAGGCAGCCTACAGAGTAAAACACAGACTGGCAACATGCAAAGTAGTCCAAGCGGAAGCACAGCTGTCCATGGAAACTAACACTGTTCTCCATCAAAAAGGAGCTCTGAAAGCCCTCTGTGATAATCGGATGAGAGGATACAGAAGGACGGAGGAGGCCACATGAGGCCAGATAATCAATCAATCAAGTTTATTTGTATAGCCCTTTACAATACCCAAATGGTACTCAAAGTGCTTTACAACAAAGCCATAAAACAATACAAAAAAAAAACATTCAAAACATACAGAAACAACTAAAAATGCTGTAGTGGTGCAGGGCATTAAAAGCCTTCCAGAAGTGCGTAGAAAGGAGCAGACAGAAAGAGGAAACCTAAGTCCTCAGTCCACTCTGATGTCGGACTGATGGAGAATCTGTGGAGCCTCCTTTAGTGGGAACAAACAACTGCTGGACGGGTTCGTTTTCTCTGATAAAAACACATTTCTTACACCGATAAAATCAAAGAGTGGGACGCTGTAACTGAACCAGAGTCGGTGGCTGCCGGGTTAGGGTTGTCAAACGTATTGATACTCAAAAAAGTATTGATACTAAAATGTTGTATCCGGATACGATACTCATTTTCTAAAGTATCGATACCCCCC